GTGTGTGTGTGTATATATATATATATATATATATATATATGTGTATATATATATATAGGTATAATTTAATGGGGAAAAATTTGAGCATGCTAGAGCTAGACAAGATGACTGTTTTTGATCCCTACATTTTGGCAATGATTACAGAAAGCTACATATGAATGTGTGCAAAAAAAAAAAGTCCCCATGCTTGTTGAAAGCCAGATAAAACACATAGATCTGGTTGATGCTCTTAATCATTCTACAAGAGAAGCAAGAAAAAGGCAGATGGATGCTCACTTCCCATCTGATACTGGCTCTGACAAGCAGTTGTTTCAAGGGGACTTAGCTGTTGTTTTGATCCCAGCCTGTTAATAGCAGGAATTGCTGTAAGTAACATCTAGAATCATCTGCTTTAGGGACCTGGAGATTTACAGAGGGGGAAAAGAGAATTTAATTTTTTTTAAAAGACTATTTAATTTAAAGAACCAAACTCCCAAGTAGTAATTGACGCCCAGCTGGTACTTGCTGGATTCAGTGCTGCTCATTGCACGGTGGCCAAATAATTAGTGTCTTGTAGACACTGTAAATTATCATCACTTAGAAGAAAACTGACTTCCCCATAAATGTTTCAACTTGTATAGGAAGCCTTGTAGGTTTTTATAGCATAATTTGCATTTTATCTTACAGCCTATTTGGAGGAGATACAGTCAGTTCGTCGCCATACCAACAGCGTGTTGGACAGCAGCAACAATTGTAATCCACCAATTGTGGTTCACTGCAGTGCAGGTGTAGGGAGGACAGGGGTAGTTATCCTAACAGAGCTGATGATTGGCTGCTTGGAACATAATGAAGTAAGTACACTTTTCCTCTCTGTAAACATTTATTTATTTTCCAGTGGCTGATTCTGTACTACACCTGTGGCTGAAGTTGGGAGAAGGGGAAGATATCCCTAGTCTTCCCATTGCAGTAGTATAACAAGACATAGCATGCAGCTGTTTCCCCCCCCCGTTTGTGGTTTGTCGTACATCTTGGCTGTTATTTATTTTATTAATATATTTATTTTGGCATAGCCCTGTGAACAATAGGACACAACTGCAGAAGTGAAGTCTCAAATTATGACATGTCTGTTCCTGTGTCTTAATTAATCAGTCCGGAGATAGAGCTGTACAGAAGACCAGTCTCAGAGACGGTAGAAAAGCAATACTGTTTTCCAAATGGGTTTAGACTGACTCCATTGATTTCTAGCTTCTTTCTTGGGTGTCTCTCTGAGAGCTGCTGTCTCTGGGGTCTAATCTGAAATAAAGCTCAGCTGTAATTGAAAAAAAAAAAAGACATGGGGGGAAGGGGCACAAAGGAAAAATTTCCAAAGAAAAACTGATGGCCCTAGCCAGTATTATGAGATCTGTCACATAAGCTACGTCAAAGGGTTATCAGAGTTTCAGATGTAAGTGCTTGTTCTGCTATATCCTATGTCAGTGGAGAAAGATCCAGCAAAAACACCAGTTTCTGAAGAACAATTGGATGCATCCCCTCAAGTGGGACATTTGTGTCCTTAGGGTCAAATAGCAGTAGCACATATATGTGCTGCTGCTAGTTGTCCCTGGGCATGCCCCTACACGCATGCTCTGGTGTGTGGCAGATTGCCCCAGGTGGGGTAGGGGAGGCTGGGCCCAGCACCTGGACTGGGCCCAGCAACCTTACCTGGGGTCCTGGAGGGCTCCTGGGGCTGCAGCAGTGGCAAGCCAGGCATGCAGAGCCTCCCGAGCAGCCACAGTGTGGCTCTGGTCAGCTAGGCTCCAGTTTTGGGCAGCGCACACTGCTGCCACGTGTGCCCCCGTTTTTTTTTTTTTGCTGTGGGTTTTTTAGGTAGCGAGGTTTCCCAGTATCTAATTTTGCTGCCATGCTGCAAATATGCAGCATGACAAACAGAATCACAAGTGCCACGTGCATTTTGCAGTGCCTCAAAAGGCTTTGAGGTGCCACAAACCGCACGTTCCAGCTCATGGGGATGCAGCCTATATAGTGTATAATGCCAACCTGAGAAAAACAGGTATTGAAACAAAGGGGCTTCCCACATCAAAGGAATTACTGGAAGACTAAAATCTCTTGGTAGAAATGATGATGACAAAAGTATGCTGCGGGGACTGCAAATAGATGTACCATTTTGGTGTCACCCGTGCCCCACAGCAAATGTGTATTTGGCCCATTTGCTGGCATGGAGAGAGAATCTGCAACAGTTATGTGAAGGGGTGGAAATTATTTTGTGTATTATCTTTAGAGCCTTTAGTCATGGAAAGACTCCAACTTCTGAGTGGGAGCTATTGGGGGCAGGGAGGCATGGCAGCACAGGTTTTAACCCTTTGTGGGCCATATGCAGCCCACCAATTGGGCAATCTTGTTCATGCACAAAGTTAAAACACTGCTTGTCACTCAAGAATTTGAGCCTGTTAGCATGGAGGGATGATTACCAGCTGACTTTCCTTTCCTTTTTATCTGGTAATGTGCCTGCCTATTTCTCCACCCTCCCATTTCTTTCAAAATGCTTATGACTTGCTTATGACAGCAAACGAAATGAACTGGTGTCTATGTGGCACTGCAGAATAACCACACTATAGTTATACGGTGATCATTTAGAGATACAGGGCTTAAATCAGCCTGCATGTAATTCTTTTGACTTCCAATGGACTTTGCCCAGTGATGAATTTGGCTCAGTAAATTTAGCACAAATTAAGTGTTCCTTTTCAATTTATTTATGCTCATTTCATCCCCACCCCTTCTCAATCTATTTTCTCCACACTCCCATGTAGGGGGGAGAGCCAAGTAGAGCTTTGATTCATTGCTTTTGGGCTAGGCATGGGGTCAAAATGCTGCTGAAAGAAAATGTGCAGCCACCGGGGTCAAAAGGCACTTCACGTCACTCTAGCATCTTCCACACACCAGCAGAACTGTAGACATAGATATACATAGATTAAATAACAACTTGGCAGCTCCTCTGGTGACCTTGTGAATGCCTCTGGCTTCACCTCTTCTGTGAAGAATGGTTTGGCATGATGCTGAACTTCTGAACATCAAGGAAAGCATAAAAATCAGGGATGTTCAGCAAGGAAAGTTCAGCAAAGTCACTGGGAGTTGATGTGTAGTGCTCATGAAAGTGAGAGACCCCCTTGTTTTATCCCTAACTAAACTCTCCTTTTTACGTGTTACCAGAATTCATAATATTTTTAAGCCCAGTTTTCTCCTTTTATGGTGATAGCCCTCCAGAGCCGTATATTGTTTTACAGCAGATGAATGTTTCAGCTCTCTATCCTATGTTTTTGTGATCAGCTGAGCTATATGTTTCCAGGTGAATCAGGGTGGTTGGTTTGTAGTGATGGTCACACTTAGAACATTTTTTTTTTTTTTTTTTCACGTACAAAATATTTCTGTTGTAAATTACCTGACTTCTGTATTTGTTCTTGAAGCCAACATATTTCTGTTTACTCTGACATGAAACTGCTGGTAATTTAATCCTCCATAATGCAACTTCTGATAGTGTTTTACAGTCTTATGAGATGAGCAGTACCTCACAACATGCCTTGTAGGCAGGTGAGCCACTGTATCCCCATTTCACAAATGAGGAAACTGATGCATAGGGCAGTTAAACTTCTTGGTAGAAGTCCTGCTAGAGCTTGAAACAAAAGCAGTCCTTTTGATTTCTGCTTCTGGGGCTTACAAAACCAGTAATCTCTTGTTGACAGACACATTGCAGTTGATTTTGAATAGAAAGAAATCCCCTTTTATGGAATAAAGTGGGTAGTCAGGAGTCTGAGATACATTAGGGGGTCTGTTGTACCTCCTTATAAGATTAAATACTAATAAGTTAAGATGTTCAGACATTAGGTGTCCATAATAGGTTTAGTCTTTCAGTACACACTAATGCACATCCATACAAATAGCTCTTAGATTAATCAAAACCTGAGCCATGACACAGGGACAGAGTCACCAGATCTTATTAGTCTTGTAGAAATCAACAAATTCCATCAAATGTTGAACTATAGTAATTAAAACTTGGTTATGCAGGTCCAAACTGGCCTGCATTTTTGTTGTCATTATTGGTCAGGCAAGATCAAGTTTTGAATGATTGGGTTGGCATGCTCTAATTGCTTTGCTAACCACCAAACTCCTTGCTGAGGCATTCTTTGATTTGGCTGCATACAACCCAATAAAAACGCTTAAGCTGTCATCTGCACTGGTTTAAAAATGGTTTAAACTCTTTTCTTCATTTCTGTCCTCTTCTGCTATTATCAACTGCTGCTTCTGTAGCAGAATTTTTGTCACGTTGTAGTCTTGCTTCCATAATGGCTTATTTGTAAGAAGGCATAAAATTAGCTACATTAAAAAAATTAGGATCATAATTGTGTTTACTTTAACATTAAGAACCTTGATCATTTTACAAAAGTGCACAGAAATGCATGTGACATGGCTTTCGAATTTTTTAATGTTTACTCTCTAGAACCAGTTCCCGTAATACAGTGGTTCTCAACCTTTTCAGACTCAAGGCACCCTTCAATAGACTTGAGACACCACTTGGAAAAGGCCAGCAATTCGTTTTTGTGTGGTTTTTGCCTACAGAAAAATTATAGGGCAGTTCTTCTGTTGTAGAGAATAAAGACCACAGCCGGTCAGACTGATTTTAACACTGTAGACTTCTATTTGAAATCTCTGGGGTTATCTCGTGAATCATGTTTGCACATCTCAGTGGTAACACTGTGAAGCATGTTGAGGCACCCTTGAAAGAATCTCAAAAGCACCCCACAGTGCCACGGCACCTGGTTGAGAATCACTGCCATAATGCATGGAAACCACTCGAGTGCCCTAAGACTGCATGCTTCGAGTCACTAAAGGCAGAACCAGAACTAGTGGCTAAAGACACTCTTAAGTATATCTAGCCAGGCTCCATACCACCCTTAAGGCTGCTGAAAAATAAGTCCAGCCCTTCCACTGGGACCCTTCCAAGTGAGGATGTGTAGGCACGCTTCTCTGCTGCTCATCTTGAGATCCCCAGTGTCCTCACTGCTGTAGTTCTGAGTTTGGAGCAAGTAGGACAAGAGAATGGGTGGGACTTACTTTTTAGTCCCAGTCTGAAGAGTTGTATGGAGTCAGTGTAGACATGCTCAGAATAATTCTGTTTTTCCAACCAGTTCAACCAGCAAATTTGCTGGATTCTAGCTTGTGCCATTTTATGGTATGGGTTGTCCTTTAGGTTCATTTTTCAGCATGTAAGAGACAACTGTATTCTAAAGGAGCCTGAAAAAAAAGGGTTGCTGGAAACCCTGACTGACTGCAGACCTTTCTGATATCCCTCACCCTTGGGGTTATTGCTCATGGTGGTGTTCTCCCCCCCACCCCCCAAATTATCTGAGAATTTCACATAAGCATGGTGTTTCTCCCCCCCGTAGAGTGTTTATACATTGGGAGGAAAAATAATGCAACTAAGGTTATGAAAAGAGTTATTTACACAAAAGCAGTGAATCCTTCAATGTTTTACATGTGCTGCTTGACTGCTTTTGCCTCCCTTGTTCTGAGGTATGCCATACTTTGCATGCCACATTTGGGCCTCGGCAAGTTGAGCACTGTAACAGAACGACTTCTGAACTACTCCTCACCTGCCTGTTGTAACAAGTCCCCCTACTTGCTTTCTGTCCTCCCGTTGCTCTCTAAATGTTGATAATAGTGGCATTGCCTAATATATATCTTAGCTAATGCTTCACCTTGCATACCCCTTTGTGTTTTTCAAGCCCTGATTCATGTCCTAGTTCTGACAGTTAAGGTCAGAACATCTGTTGAGCATCAGGTTGCTGAGCCTTGCAGACATTGGCAAGAAACCCAGAGACTTGAGAGGGAACAAAAGTTGCAGAATTGTCATGCTAGATGTATTTGCTAGCGTTTCAGTTTTGGCCCAGAAGCTCATGTTTTCAGGACTCTTGATTTGTCTCCTGTGATGGCCATCCCTCCTGGAAAAAGGGCTGACTGAAGCAGTGTGTCAATATACTGCAATACCTACAGGTCCGTTGAATGGCAGAGAAGCTGACCCAAGATATTTCAATTTAGACTATCTAAGGACTACACTTTGGCACCATATCCTTATGTATGTATAACTTGTCAGGTGACTTGACAAAAACCATTTACTTTAATTAAATGTCTAGGAAGAAATCTCCATGATCCAGGAGGTCGCTCTTTCCTGAGAAACCTTTCCTATATACCACCCATATTTCTTGCTGTAATACGCAAACAATACCAAAACAAGCGGTGTGATTTCAGTATAAACGAAATGTTCATTTCCTTCTGATCAGTTGTGTGAGGTTAGTGGTGGTGTTCAGTGTAATTAACATACTGCCTCATATCCTTTTTTCATCCTTAATTTACAGAAAGTGGATGTTCCGGTGATGCTGAGACGACTGAGGGAGCAAAGGATGTTTATGATTCAGACCATCGCTCAGTACAAGTTTGTCTACCAAGTGCTCATCCAGTTCTTGCAGAACTCCAGACTCATTTAACCTCCAGCATTGTGGATCTGACTGAACCTTCTTGACAAGGGGCACTCCTTCAGCAGCATGTCTTATAGCATCGTATGCATATATTGTACTTGCTCAAGTTGCCTCAAAAGCAAGGAGTCATTGTTCTCGACTGGAGAGTCCTGTGAGTTATTTTATACACAGTAATTTATTTTTCTTGAAATAACTTGTGAATTTCTTAATATCTTGTGAAACTGTATGATGACCTTTTGAACCACATTTAATATGACTGATCTGCATTGTAAAATGTCCATAGGGTAGGTTATCCTCTCTCAGGGTGTGTGTTGGCCTTTGTGTTGTTATATGGCTTATAAAATGAACAGTTCTTCAGGAAATAGGTTTTTTTTCCCCCAGCAAGAGCCAGATATGTGGCTTTTGCAATGAAAATAAAACCTGATAAATGTCAATTAAAACTCTGCAATAGTCAGACTTGTTTTCAGATAAAAACCTAAAATGCAGAGCGATCAAAGCATGAATCCCTGAATAGGTGACTGGAAGAACTGCAAAGCAAGAAGTGGGGTAATTGGGTAGACTTCTGTGGCACTCAACAGTTTATGAATTTGGTAAGAATTAATATTGCAATACAGTACTTGACAAGAAGCAGCACAACCTCTAGCATCCCCCATTCTGTGATCCCATGGTAGACAAATAGTCGTAAACAAAAGCACCCTGAAGTCAACAAGAGTCTTTCCATTACGCTTACTGGGCTTTGGATTGAGCAGTAGAGAAGCACTTCAGCCAGCTTGCACCCTAAGAATATTCAAGGCAATAAATATGTTCTCATTAATGACTGAAGCTTTTACTGTTGGCACATACAGTGCAGTCAAATCCTGCTCACCTTCCTCAAGCAAGGCAACTCATTAGGGTCTGGGCATCTCGATGTGTACACACTGCCACCATCATTTAGGTTGTCTGTTTCTAATACTTTTTTACAGTTTTTAAGTGATGACGTCTCTCTCAACTACATCCCCATTTTCTGTTTCCTGATCACTGCCAAATAATGAGCCTGGAGGTTTTAAATTACAGAATGTTGCTGCCCTCAGATTTTTTCCCAGTCAGCACCTTGCAGTTTATGATCATATCAAGCATCACCCACATGGGCACTGCAGCTCTAATTTTCTTAGCTTTCAATCTTTTTTTCCTACAATGAATTGCATGGGCCACTTGCCCACTCAAACTGCAATTTGTATTGTGATTCTCTTTGCCCGTATCATTAGTAGTGAGTATTTGTATTCTAGTAATACCTACAGAACTTAATGTGGGGATAGGAGCCCCACTGTGCCAGCTACTGTACAAGCACAAAAAGGGAACACTATCCCTGCCCTAAAGGCTTTATAATCTGAATAAAAAAGGTAGATGGAGTCTAATTTTCTCCATCTCCTTATGGGAGAAGAGAAACAGATACAGTAGAACCCAGATTCTCTGCAAGGTTAGGTTATTAACCCCCTGCAAAGTTACAAAGTACCCAGGGGCATATGCAGCCACAGCAAACAACTGTGCAGGACTTCTGAGAGGCTCTGGCTGTTTGCTGTGGCTTTTCTTCAAAGGGCACTGCTGCTTCAGTCAGCACTATAGCTCATCTTTTGCTGTGTTTCAGCAGATGGGAGAAGTACTGCTGCTACAGTTTAGCAGGTTGTCCTTAATTTGGCAACTAACTGTGAACTGAGTGGCTTGCAAACCACTCTGAGATAAACCATCTTGGTTCTACTGTGCCTCTCTACATCTGTCCACTAGTAGTAGCTGCATTTGTGGGTGGGGGGAATAATTGTATAGCTAATATGGACTTTACAAATAATAAAAGAACCAAAGCTTCTGTGTCATCAAAGTACTTGGTAAAGGGACAAAATAAGCCAAATGGAGAACAGCATTTGCTTTTATCAGCTCTACATTTAGCTTTGATTTCATACTGTGTAAGGTTCAGGAGTATAAGGGTTCCTGAACTGCAGACAATAGTGCAAAATCAGGCCCCAAGCAGGCTTTGCTTAAAACAAAGACCTAGGAGAATTCAGGCTTACAACTTATCTTCAAATCTCAATTTTTCCCTTAAATTTTTGCTAAACATGAAACTTTTTGTCAATGAAAATCTTGAAAGATCATTAAGATCTGGTATAGCTCCTTGGCGTTACATTTGGGTGGGTCTGTATTTCCACCAGATTTGGATAGAAAAAGTGACCTTTAATTCTAAACATCCTCTTGGCTGAGTATCTTTTTTTGGCAGTGAGCTTCTACAATGTATAAACCACAGGCAGTTTGTAACATTAGGTTTTCTCCCCTGAAACGGCACACTTCATTGCTGCTCTCGCCTGTTTTATTTGCTCTATGTAGCTTCTATTCACCTTATTCCAGGAGTAATCCAATCTGATGTGTATGTAGTGGTTCCAAGTGACTTTAGAGTTATGCCGCTTATACCTTACCCTGGAAACATCCATGCTAGTCCAGAAGCCTACTTTGTATTAAACAGGATCAACCTACAACCTTGAGCCTCATTATAGTTACTTGTAACTTCTGCTTTTCCGGAAGTAGTCTCCTAAATTCTCTGGCAACAAAATTGAAGCTTTTCTTCTTTGACTCTGATTACATTTGTTTGGCCCTCAAATTCAGAACCGTAAAGGTACTTAAGCTTAGGTCCCACTAACGTAAATGAGAGTTGGGTCCCTGTATGCCTTTACCAATCTGGGATGGAATGTTTTATATAAACAGGTCGTCTTTATCATTCCTAGCTGGCATTTGGTGACTTTGCAGGATGAAGGCAAAACGGTGAGAAAAGAATATTGATTGAAGAGTGAGGCTTTCATTCCATGCCACCAGAGTGGCTAGGAGAGAGGAAAATATTTAGCTAAAATATCTTGATCACGTTCCTCTTAAGAATCAGTTGATTCTTCAGTCAACTTAAGTCTTCCTCTAATATCTTCTGCCAATGCCAGCATCTCTCTTGTTAAATTAGCAATAGCCATTTAAAGTCTTTCCAGTGGCATCTGCATGATAATTACGGAGATGCTTTATATCTGGGAAACAGGCCAAGGAGTAAACCTTGAAGCAAAGTATATTAAATTAGTTATCTAGTTATAGCTTTTTGAATAATTTCCTAATGATGAATTAAGTTTGAACTCGAAGCTGTCAAGTCCCATTGCTCCATTTGGATTTAAAAGGTAGAAAACCAGCAGGGAAAATAACTTGCTCATTGTTTTTATTATCCAGTTCCCCTGGTTGAAATTTATATGGGTATTTTGGATCTGTTCTATATTATTTCAGAAGAAAGCACAAATAACCACAAGGAGAAAAAAAAGCACTTATCGTGAAATGATTTTTCATAACGTAAAGGTGTCTTAAGAAAAATATAAATTACAAAATGGTATAAAAAATTCTCTTACAGTTAAGTCGCCATCTTTTAATGAGCAAAGTAAAAGACCATGTAACAAACAACTACTTTCAGTGCGCTCTTAAAATGGCTGCTATCATATATGGAGTCTAAGGTGACTCACTTTCTTCCTTTTATTGAAGCATGGTAATTTTAATTTTCCTCTCATCTGACTTGCTGTATTTTATCTTGACCTGATCAGTTAGCATCTTAGGTGACTGGAGTGCTATACAACTCCAGAGCTTCCTCTTTCAGCCCCATTTGCACCTATAAACAGAGACGTGTCAAGGTTTTATACTGACAGAAGCAAAAATACTCCTCCTGATTTTGAAGTACTGCAGCTTTATCAGAACTAAGTTCCTTGGAGTATGTTCCCTAACCTTAAGGGAGGCACAGGAAAAAATATTTTCTATCCAATTCCATTAGTCACAGCAGGAATGAAAGCATGAGACTTAAAGGAACCAGTCCTTTTCATTTCTTTCCCAGTTTTAACATCTGGTCTGTATTAAAAAAAAAAACAGAAGTGAGAGAAAAGGGAGACTCAATTTAGGTTTAGCTTTAGGTTTTTTCCAATTCACGTTGGTTCCCATTGGATCTGTTGGCCTACGCTGTCTCCAGCAATGCCTACTACAAGAGGAATGTTGTGTGGACTAGTAACCCTGACTTGTAGATCCATGGCCTGTAGCTTCCTTCCTTCATTCCATCCATCCATCCATGCATCCATTTTTTATCTAAATGTGATGCTGCCATTTAACAGACAGGTTTTATTCAATTTTGAAGGTATATTCCTACCTTGGGTTGTCTATCCTGAGTTAGCCGTAACTGAGGTTAAAATAGCACTGAAGACCAGACATTAGCTGTTTGAATTCAGTTCAAGGCTTTCATATAGGCTTTACTTTGGAACAGCTGTGCAAGTCACATTGTCTTGTGTTCAGTGCTGTTTTACTCTAAGTTAGTTAATCTGAATTAAGAGCACACTCTTAATAGTAAAGATGCATTGCGAGTCTCATCCACATTGACATGCACCTAAGGGTTCAACGGGAATTCAGTACTAGTAGTAGTCTTGAGATTTCTGTGCTAAATCTGATGTGACTTTGTACTGGAGGCACTCATTGATCTACAGCCTCCACTAAATCAGTGGGAGTTTTCAGTGCTTGGCTTTGCCTAGAATTTGTTCCCACTGGATTGGATCCTTTTGCTATCATGGTCCAGATTAGTCCAGCAATTCTCAACTAAGTGGCACAATACCCTGGGATGCCTTGAAATCCTTTTAAGGGTGCCATACATTATTAGCATGGCTTGATGTGCAAATACTAACACAATTTCACAAGATAAATCCAGAGCTTTCAAATGGGAATCCAGTGTCAAAAACATTATGACCTGTTGTGGTTTTTCGGTGTTCAGTGCAATAGAAAAATTGCTCAATTCTTCTGTAGTTAGACAAAAGAGTGAAAGCTAAGACCTGGCATTTTCCAAACAGTGCCTTGCATCTAAGAAGAGGTGCTTGAGAATTACAGGCTTAGATGTAAATGTAGTGAGAAAAGCAGGCCCATAGTTTGAGAAAAATGCTCAGTCTCTTTGTAAATACAAGAGAAGATGGAGTCTCTAAGGTATTTTCTAATACTGGTGGTTTTAAGGCAGTTCCATTCAACTTTGGTTCCAAGGTAAAGTAATCAGACAGAGCATGAATAAAAACATTACATTTTTATATATAAAAATATATAGCATATATATGTCATAATATGTTTTATATATATATATATATATATGAAATATGTTTATACTAAATCCAGGTAGATTTTGCTAGGCTTAATCTATATTAAATCTAGCAAAAGAGAGGTCCAGTGAATGTAACATGCTCTATTTAAAAGCATTTTGAAATTTCCCAGCCTTTCACATGCTTGTTGGATAGTCAATATTTCACTGTAAACCAAGGATATAAAGGTTTTGCCTTTCCAGCACCCACCCAACTGTGAGTGAGTTTCACAGGCAGAAGAATTGTTGGAATATGCCAATAAAAAGGAAAGGGCAATTAACAGTAAAAAGCAGAGCCAGTCCTGAGCAATTCAAGCACCAGGTGAAAGGCACAAAACTACTAGAACTGTTGGTTTTTTTAAAAAAAGGATGTTGCACTTTTAGGCTGTTAAGATTATTTTTGCACTGGGCAAATAATCCCTCATCCAGGGCCCCAGATTGGTACTTCCTATGTAAGTGAGAATGCCAGTCAGCTCAGTGGGATTTTTAACTTGAGCCAGGTGGGCAGGAATTGATTTGAACGTAAGGATTGCCATTTTTCTCTGTAACTACCCGTTTTCTTGCTGCTATCCAGTCTTTTATCCAGAACAAACCATTTGTACCCAAAATATCATTTGTGAGATTATTGTCCCATTGAGGTTGCTCCATATGGAAAAATATTTTCCCTACTAAAGTATTATACTACAGATATTTTACAAAGGAAAAGAGTTTACACATGCAGATGACTGTAATATGCTCATGTATAATTGTGTGGGACTTGTGTTACATGAAATAACATGTTAAATTAGTTTTACACCACTGGATTTTGTTTTATTCTACTTCAGTATTTTGATGTTTCCAATTGTTTGTTCTGTAACGCTGTACATTATAGTTTAGTCTATGACAGTGATTTAACAATCTCCAGCCTCCTACTACGTACACATTTTTGTTGAGAGGTGAGTTATATTTCCACCTCCCCTTTTCAATGCGAGATGAATGGCAAATCCATTTTATACTATTGAAAGCCTTTTTTAAAAAAAAAATCTATGCATGCTATTTTATATTCTAATGTATTATTCATATCAGTACATAAGCTTATGCTTGTCAGTTTTATCTTGTGTATAAAACTGATTACTTTTGACAGTATTTTTGCACTGTTTCTCTTCTCTTTTTATAAAAAGTTCTATTCAGCATTAATTGACTGCAATAACTTTTTTTTTTAACATATTTCACTGCCTTTATGTAAATAGTTTCCTGTATGCTGTTTCAAATGTGAGAGTGTCTCAACTCACTAAGCTATTTTTGGTAAAGACTGTCTATCCTTCATATTCACAATATACAATAAATATTTTTCCCAAGGACATCCATTTGTTTTCCTTCCTATGTAATGATTGGGGTTTTATACTTGCACCCGTCAACTCTAACTGAAGCTAATGAGATTTATATCTGATCCTGAGGCCCTAGCAGGGCTAAATGTAGTGCATCTATTTAGGTACCATACAGTGCTTCATTTTAGGCCTCCAGTGTGCAATCTTAAGTCTTAGCATCCAGGTTCTTTACACTGTCCAAAGAGCCTTAAGCGTTTAAGAAAAAAAAACCCTGTGCACTAAGTGGGAAGCCAATAAGAGACCTTAACCACAGAGGTTGTACTAATTTGGCAAACAAACAATTACGAAACATAGCAGTAGGGCCACAAGAGTTGTATGCCAATTTAATTCACTTTTTACACTGATAAGATATAATACATTAAAACCTAGAGAGAAAAGATTGGTCATTTTTGTGGATGACCTGTCAAAGGTCTGCTCTGCTTGGAACAATAGCCACCTTAAAAAAAAATAAAGGATTAATGTATGTAAAGAGTAAGGAACTGCATTTCATGTAAGCCTCAGAATGCAAGATACAAGGCCCAAAGTGCACAACATTTGTCATTCAATTATATTACAGAAATGTTTTCACGCTACAGCAATTTTTAAAGCACTCCCAAAGGCTTCCAGGTTTCTGTAACAAGGCTTCTATGTAAAAGTTGAAGAATTGCATATATTCAAAGGCTTAGTGGTCCTCTAATTCCTTTTTGATCTCTGAAATGTATAGATGATCTTTCCCGTGTGCTACTTCCATGATACCAATTGCCTATGAAAAGAAAATAAAGGTGACAGGAATCAATTGTATGAATAACACTAGGCTAGTCGCCATCTCTTCAGGGGTTGGCATAGCCTGAGGCCTTCTGGGATTTTTGTCCCCATTAAGAGCTAGTTTGATTATCGTCGTTTTATATAATAAAGGTTTTTATTCATACAACACCTTTAAAAAAATTCCACCTAAAGGACTAGGTGGTACACAGCTAAGTGGAGGACAGGAAGCTTGCAAGCAAGTTGGGGAGGGAGGACATGTTTTGGCAGAGGATCCAACCAGCATGGAGAGCAGCTCAGTGTCAACATCTTACCCTCCACATAGGAAAATTGGGTTCCAGACCATTTTCCTACTTGAAGGCTTCAACTACAGTGAACCTAGCAGGATTAAACAATGCCTTATTCCAGTAAGACAAGGTTCTTTGGGTGAATCTGATATCCAGTAAGCCACTACACATCAACTCCTCTAACACTACATCAGAAAGGAAGCAAGTCTCAGTATGACCTAGATGTTTCTATTGCAGTTGAGCCCAGAGGCTCCAATCAGGATCAGGGCCCTGCTAGACTAGGTGCTTTTCAATCATATCCAGAGCCAACCTGAACCTCAGGAGTGTAACATCCAAAACAAATTCAAGCTGTTCCAACTATCTGATGGCATCCAAAATGCCTGAGAGCACTTGTCACACTAACAACACCTGGGCTTTACAATGGGATTTAATGAAGAATGCTCAGAGGCATCTTACCAGCCCCTCACAATCTATGAAAGGGGACAGAAAAACACCAACCTTCAGAAACGGGCAAGAAATGAGGCAAAAATAAAAGGGAGGTTGGAGGAGCTGAATGAATAGGACTGTGAATAGAAGTGGGGCAGACAGGTTTAAGAGGTAACTGCCAAGTGCAGGAGCCACCATGAAATAAGGTATTGCAGCATCTTAGAAACTAGCCTTGAATACTTAGTCACCACTGCCTTAAATAAATCAGGACTGCAATGATCCTCACTTTTAACCTCAGCTTCTACCTGATCAGCAACTAGAATTGACCCCGGATTGCCCCTCATACAGACAGGATTAAATGTAAAAAAACCCATGTCTGAGTTGTGGGTAAAGCAATAAAAGTGGACAACTTGTTGGGTTTTCCAGTAAGTCCCAAGATACCACATGTGGGACAGTGTGTTAAATTGTTCATGCAGGCAATTTCTGGAAGAGAGTCGTTAGAAAAATATATTTGTATTGGGAAATGGACAGTATCAACACTGTTACCTATGTGACTGTCTGCAACTTGTATGCTGGCACCAGTCCCAGGCTCATCCTGGTTGAATCAGCAAGGAGAACATTTTTTTTTAAAGTTTTTATAACCAAACTTAAGCAGATTCTTGTGGCACCATCACCATGGCAGGGTGGCTGCAGGAATGCTAAATTGGAGCTTAATAATGATAAAAAATGCCAAAAGTAGGGAATCCCACACCAAAGCAATACATCCGGTCACTGAGGTTTAAGAAAGTAAAATGTCTCTTTTCATCCAAAGGGGAGAAAAAAATAAAGTCGGGAAGTCTACCACAGGTTAGGGAAGGGGGCATGGAATCAAATTAAAATGGGGAAACATTTTTTAATGTTATGTTTGCCAATGCCGACAGCATTCTTGCTGCTCAAAGCAGTGAATATTCAACTCCACTAATAGCCACCAATCCAGCCGATAGAAACATGTTTTTAACAGCTCTTGCAATATATAAACCACAGACAAAGTGTGCGGTGCTTCCCTGGCAAGGCTACTAAAAAAACAAACCAACAAAAAAAGAAGGATTATCTCATTTTGTCAGCCTCTAAACAAAGTAGGACTGTAGTTTGTTTCTTCTCAAGCTGAAGAGGAACAGTGACCCAGGGAGGAAAATGCTATAAATGGGGTCTATCTACACAAGACATTTCCTGTGCAGTAGACTAATTAGCTGCATAGTAAACACTGTGTCTACACATGTGCAAACTAATTTACTTTGCAGCAGGACAGTACTTATAAATAGCTGCAAGTTTTTTTACTCTGCAGCAGCACACGTGTAGACACTGCCCCACTGCTGAGCCCCAAGGGTGCTTCAGTGTGGGGGCTGCCTGCTAGCTAGACATATGCTGAAGCACCCTCATACCCCAGCCAGCCCCTCCACAGCATATAGAGCTCAATTGGAGCAGCCCCAGGCTAGCAGGCTGACCCCCGGAGCCCCTCGCCAGCTGGGGCTGTTCTGACCTAGCTCAACATCCTGTGGTCCCAGGTGCACAAGCAATAAGCCCCAGAGTTTAGTGCTTTGCATTAATATGCCCAAGACATGCCCACATACTGCACTATTATGAAGTGAGAGTATCCTGAAAGCCCATTGTGAACAGAGCTAGCATTACACAAATGCACTGGAACAGAAGGGTAGAAATTGCTCTGTTTCACAGAAAATTAAAGAACAGGCTGAACATTAAGAGTTGCTGCACTAATGCATGCTACGTTTTCTTGTTAAGAAGCAGTTAGTTAACTTAGTTAGGCTTAGTTAAATCACTAAGCAGTTGTTAAATCACTCCAATTACACAATATGATGGAAGTACCTTTTTTAGAGCCTTCATTCCAGCAGTTCTGTTTTCTAGTGCCATGTAGAGCCTCCCTAACTTCAGCCACATGGAGGCAACATTGAGAGAGTATAATGGATAGTGTTTGCTGGAAAAGAAAGATTGGACTTTATCACATCCTGCAAACAGTTTCACAGCCTTTCCCTTAAACCCTACCCAGCTCAACGAGTAAGAAGCTGGCTCATTCTCTTTGCCCTCTGTTGCATCTGCCAACAGTTAGTGCCCATTGTTCATGTGATGGCAACATCTGTCCACTGGGAACTGGACTGAAGCCACTGAATTCATTTCAAGTACCACAGACCTCTGAGCAACTGTCAGATGGCAGTGACTTGCAGTCACTGGATTTAATCTGGCCAGCTAAAAGGGTACAAGACTCTTTATCATTAGCAATGCTCTAGGCCACCCTGTACCTACAGTGCAAGCCACTCTCCTGATTGCAAAAGGCATGATTTTGTCAGCATCTGGGAGAGATGAAGCATTCACAGAGCATTTATCATGTGTATCACGACTGCAATTGCAGCACAAGGAAGGTTCAGCAGCTGACCTGGAATGCTAGGCTGTGAGCCAACGGGAGCTAGGCAAGTCATGGGGATGATAAATAGTATTCACCCCCAGAGAAAATGTGCTGGCTCTCTCTCTGTACCACTGCTCCCTGACAAATGATCTCCAACTTTACACTGGCATCAGCTCCAAAGAAAAAGCTTTGCTTGCACTCTTCTAGCTGGAAAGAATCAGGCCTTAAGATGAGACTTTACTGGGGAGACAGCTGCTGTTCACACGTCTGACCCCAGCATCTACCTAGTGCATAACAAACTAGGTCTCCACTATAAACATAGCCTAGGGTGGGCTGGGGGAAACCAGCAAAGATTAGGAGAGCATACTTTTCCTCTCCAAGACAATTTCTGGGTGTTTGTTTTTGTATGCTACACTGCCCCCTGCAAGAGACCTGAGCTAGTACCTTCTCTCCAGCTCATGCAGTGGAGGCCAAGGACATTAGGAGTTGATACAGTCAGTCTCAGCAATAGGAGCTAAATTCTACACCAGCTCCCCCTACTGCTCAGTCCATGCTAACCAGCCTTCCACCAGCCTTATTTTAACTATTTGCCATAGCTGGTGTGGTGATGAATCATAGAAAAAAAATCATAGAAAGTTAGGGCTGGACGGGACCTCAGGAGGTCATCTAGTCCAACCCCCTACTCAAAGCAGGACCGTTCCCAACTAGATCATCCCAGCCAAGGCTTTATCTAGCTGGGTTCTGAAAGCCTCCAAGGATGGAGCTTCCATCACCTCTCTGGGTAATCTGCTCCAATGTTTTACTACCCTCTAGTGAAAAAATTAATACCTAACCTAAACTTTCCTTGCTGCAAATTGAGACTTTTGCCCCTCATTCTGTCACCTGCTACCACTGAAAACAGTCTAGGCACCATCCTCTTTCGAATCCCACTTCGGGTAGTTGAAGGCTGCTATTAAATCTCCCCTCAGTCTTCTGTTTTCTAGATTAAATAAGACCAGTTCCTTCATTCTTTCCTCCTGTCCCCCAGCCCCCTCACCATTTTTGTTGCCCTCTGCTGGACTCTCTCCAATTTGTCCACTTCCTTTTTTTAGCAGGCATCCAAAACTGAACTCGGTACTCCAGATGTGGCCTCACCAGTGCTGAATAAAAGGAAATAATCACTTGCCTTGACCTAGTGGCAACACATCTACCAGTGCAGCCCAGTATGCCATTAGCCTTCTTGGCAACAAGGCACGCTGCTGGCTCATAATCAGCTTATTGTCTACTGTAACCTCCAGGTCTTTTTCTGCAAAGCTGTTGCCCAGTCCATCAGCCCCCAGCCTGTACTGGTGCATGGGATTGTTCTGTCCTAAGTGCAGGATTTTGCACTTGTCTTTGTTGAACCTCATGAGATTCCTTCTAGCCCAATCCTCCAATTTGTCTACGTCATTCTGAATCCTAGCCCTACCCTCCAGCATATCTACTACTCCCCCCAACTTGGTGTCATCTGCAAACTTGCTGAGGGTGCAGCCTATGAATAAAGTAAACCAATTGGAAGAGTCAAATCCATAATATTATGCATATTAATTACACAACCTGTAGCATTCTGATTCTGAGACAGGAATTTCAGAAAGACAAGTGCTGCTAAATAGGGGTGTGCAAAACGGGCTGTATGCGATTCGGATTCAGATTCAGCCCAAAATCGGGGGACAGTGATTCAATTAATTGATTCGGATCACTGCCCCGATTCGATTCAGACACATTCAAATCTGAAGATTCAATGCTGATTTAGAGAATCAGCGATTCAGCCATACCTTGAGGTACCAGGCACAGCTCATGAACAGTGCAATGCTGGGGCAGATGGAGCATCCCACAGGAGCACAGGGGGGCCCCCGCATGCCCCACCCCTGCACCTCCCCAGCTTGGTGATCAGCTGGGGGGGGACCCTGGGTGCCCCCCAGACCCAGGAGGCACCATTTGCTGAGCCAGGGGGCAGGGGGCAGGGGGAGGGTCCCCCACACACTCTGTGGCAGACCCAGAAGTGGACCAAAAGTGCTTCTGGTCTACTTCTGGGTCTGCTGCCAAGCACCCGGGGGCCCCCCTCCACGTGCTGCCGTGGGCCCCCCCATCTGCCCCACCATCACAGCATTCACAAGCCGCCTGGTACCTTGAGGTATGTAGAAAAAAACATATAAAGCTGTGTCTATGTCGGATGCTTCTGACTCAATTCGGAGAGATTAAAGGGTCTCGATTCGATTCAGAGATTTGGCCACCAAATCAGCCCAAATCTCTGCCAGACCGAATCAGCGACTGAAGCTTCGCACAGCCCTGCTGCTAAATACCTCGGGCCATGCTCTGATTGCAGTTATACTGATAAGAATCTGGCCCAATGGGCAGTTCTAAAACAGGATTTGTAACATCATTTCACTACTAAGCAGTTCATCATGTGTGGTGCATTTATACACTGTGCAATCAGGTAAATGTCTGTCCTTATATTTAAAATACATGAAGGCATTGCATAATTAAAAAGTCAGCCTCAAAATTACCTGTATGGTTTGATAATTTTTTGTCCATAGCGCAATGCACCTTCCCAGTCTTGCATGTAGAGACAGACTCCCATAGCCTGATACATCATATGCAACATGTAAACATTATTGTCTTCAAACACTGAGCCCATTTTATCCAGGCTAAGCTCACAAACCTCTAGTAATTCGCTAGGAGGTACCATGAAGTCAAGGAAAATAAAATGAATAGTCTCTAACTGAATACTGCTGCTATACAGGTAAAGGAGATTCACTTTGTATTTATCCAGTGAAGAATGGACAGAAGCTATTGTCTAGGTCAGTGGGTTTCAACCTTTTTTCATTTGCAGACCCCTAAAAAAATTTGAATGATAAATGTGGGTATTCACACAGTTTTGATTGATCATAGTCATCTTTTGCGCACCCCTTAGACAAAGTCTGTGGAGCCCCAGGGGTCCATGGACCACAGGCTGAAAACTACTGCCCTAGATACAAGACTATTCTAAAATGGTATTGAGGGGCTCCAAGTCTCAGTGACTCCAGATAGTGTGGGGTTTTTGTGCACAACTTCCCCGCTCCCTCTCTCCTTTTCCTTCACCCCCACCCCTCCCACTTCAGCAAACCCAGACTGGAGCTGTACTGCCACTGGACTCGAACCTGATCTACAGAGACACCTTGCTGTTGAAGTATAAAACTCAAAAAGCAACAAGGTCTGAACAAATAACGTGTAATCATTTCAAAACTAGATGAATGCTGAGGATTTAGTGTTGAGAGTTCAGCTATCCCTAACACTTCAGGAACTGTGACTACCCATATTAGGGTAAAATCTTGGCATCCATGAATTCCAAAACACCAACTGATTTCGGTGGAGCCAGGACTTCACCCCAACTCTTCACTCTTCATAGTAACTGGCACTGCAAATGTCTGTACTAAGCAGAAAGGATGCAGGATAAAATCCAAACTCAAGAACTCCAGAGATCTTATCAATCCAGGCTCTGTGAAGGACTTGCAATTTCACTTCTCTGTGCTTCAGTTTATGCAAGGAATAAGGCAGCATTTCAGGCACTTTGAAGATTAGTTAGTTTTTACAGCATTTGGAAGGGCTCAGGAAGTGCCCGTATATTGCACATATGCACCCACACACACACCCCTGCTAAGCATTCCAAAGGTAATTTTCTTAATTAAAAAATAAAAACCCTGAGTGCCTCCATCCAGTAACATTAAACAAGCCTTTTTCCTCCCAGCACAACTCTTTTTGGTTTATCAGCTAGCTCTGTTTTTTCTCCTCCTTTTATATAGTCTGACCAGTTCTCCCTTAATGTAATTGTTAGCCAGCTTACATTTGAACCCAATCTGTGCTCCTGTCACACAGTGGCATCAAGGTCACCAAGCAGCTCAGGTGGATGGTTAATCTGCTCAAACAATATTTTTTGTTATACTTCATGTTTCTATTACATGGGCATCCACAGGCTCCCATCACAACTGAGGAACAGCTCTGCTAGGTGCCATGCAACACATCTAAAGACACAATGCCTGTCCTGAAGAATTTACAATTTAATTATCAGTGGAAACAGATTTCTATGGGTCCTACTTATCTCGCCCACTGCTAAGCCAGACTCAGCATGTAACGAGGCATACAGAGATCAGCTTTATTTTTACTGGCTCCAATGTGCTCACACCTGCTGCTCCACAGAGATGCTGCTGTCCCTCTGTGTTGCACCAGCACTGTTCCCGCTCCCTCCCCACTTCCTATAAACATGTTTATCATCCAAATTCTATCTTCAGTCATTACCCCTTCACATCATGCAGCCCGAATCTAATTTAGGCGAGGTCAACTGGAAAGACATGTCAACTAGAAAGACACACTAACATCAGCTGTGGGCCCCTGCTCCCCCTGCATCCATGGACTGCTGTTTTAAGTGCCCAGACAGTATTCCAAAGGGCCAAACTGCTGCAATATAGGCAGGGAAACCAGAGGACTAAATGTAGACCTCGTGTAAATCGGCATAAAAAGTCACCCAGGGCTTAGGCTGGTGCAGATATTATGATCTATAACAGGGACTGATAGACTCACCATGAACATCAAATAAAGGAAACTTCTGTGGTTAGTAATTTGCCTCAATGACTTGGCTACAGGCCTGAAACACTGCTGCCGACTGCACTGACCCTTATCTTTAGGCCAACAATATTTGGCTTCTTTTAAATGTGCTCTCATTAACCTTATTAACCACTTCAACACATTTTAAAGATCCGGTATGGTCTCAGCACCACCTCAGTTCTTTATTTTTGCACCAAGGGCTTAAAAAGTGCTAAAATGTAGATTAGCCAAAAGCCCAGCCAGCTCTGGGGTGAGCTGAATCGATCTTTATACTTTCTATCTGCTACAATGTGCCTGAACCAAGACAGGAACTATACCACTCTAAAAGAGAAATAAGCATCCTTTAGCACAACACTGTTCATACAGACCAAGAGCAGCAATACAATACCCTGACAGTCTCTCCCTTACACATACATCCCCACCCCGCCACTTCCTTGCCCCAACCATGCCAAAGAAAGGAAGTTTCAATTTCTTACAGAAACAAAAAGGAGAACAAGAAAGTCTAGTTTCTAAATACTTATAAAAACTCCCCCAAGAAGCTTCCAAGCAAACAAGTACCCTGACATCAAATATTTAAGAATTATAAGGGAAGCCAGAAATGGCAAGATTGAGACAAGGCAAGGAAAAGGATATATTTATAGTGTTTGGCCCTCCTGAACTCTTCAATCACATTTCTGGCATATCTGATCATGTCCTGTACAACTTCTGTTGATGGAGGATCACTCAATTTGCGGATCTCCAGTTTTTCTTTATCCTTAAAGAAACAGAGAAGAGTTAAAAATGCAATCCCAAGGCTTACCAACAAAAGCACATGAATACATAGGGGTTCAAAAACCATTACAGTGAACTCAAAGGCATGGATGGGATCCTGGCTCCCCCAGAAGGAATTACTGATATCTCCAGATGGAAAAAATATATAACAGGTAAATGATACACCTCCAATTTTTCCATAAAACTTTAGTTGGAATGCACTGAGCTTCCAAATTTCTAGACAATGACTACCCACAAAAGCCATTCCAAGGTGTTTTACAAATGCTGGTTGTATGAGCTGATTGCAACTAGGGTAGGATTTTCAGCTTGGAACCAACTAGCAGCTTCTCATTCCACTGAGAAGAAACAAGCAGACCTGTTTAGCGAGACCTCTTCCTCTGCCGCCAGAGAAGGCAGCGCTCTCATGACAGAGTTACTCAGAAGCTCAGACAGTTTGATAGTTTACTATCTGAATGCTCAAACAGTACTGGACAACAAGTGTCTCATTAATCCCAACATGCACTAGTCTAACCAATAACACAGAAAGCACTTCATAAGTTGATGTGGCAGAATGGTTTTCCCAGAATCACTTGTGATTTGGGGGTCTGCTACACCCCACAAGACAGAAAACCATTCCATGAAGTCAATATTTCTGTAATGGTCTTCTCACCTACTACAGACATCCTGATGGGTCACATCTTTGCATCAATGGGCAACTGCCCATTTGCCTCCTCAGGAAGGCCATGGGATATCCTAAATTAAGGAGGGGAAAGAATCAACATTTGGAAGTTAGGATGCTTTCTACAGAACTTCCAGAAGCTCTCAAATTACTACCCTGTAATGCTGTTTCGTATTGTAAACTCCAGTTTACTTGTCTGCATGAATGACTAGTGTCAGATGTCTCTTGAGCCTAGATAAATATATATATTTTTAAAAAGGACAGAGACTGTCTAGCATTGTGTGCATTACAGTCTGCAAACTAACAAAGCAAAGAGTCGTGAGATCTACCGCACACAGTGCAACCTACATAAAAGAATCACTCAAAACTTCAAAAAAATTGGATTAAGCTTCTTTCAATTCATCTTTCCCATCATTTAAAATTAGAGCCATAAGGAAAAATTCTGCTTTTGGTTATACTAGAGAGATTTCATGGATCTTAAAGCCATAAGAAACCATAATTATCATCTAGTCTCACCTACTGCACAAAGCTGAACATAGAATTTCAAACTCTCCAATCTCAGTGTTTTCAAATGAGACAGCACAGGCCATGTCTATGGTTCCCCATCTACTTGATCAACTGATCTGGAATCTCCCTCCTGTCAATAATCCCTAGTTTTGCAGAATTGTTGTAATACACATTTGTAAAGTGCCCTTCACAACAGTACTTGGGGTGCTCCTCCAGTCACTAAAGTCATTCTTCACATTTTCAAAATTTTCACTCCTTGTTGTTGAAGTTAATTATCTAAATCCCCGAACTAAAAACCCTGACACTCTAGGTCCATCAAGAAATTTAACTCAATGGAAAATAGATCCCATTCTATATTCCACTTTCCTTTCAGATTTACAGAAAAAAGGGCGTCTCCACAAGTTCAGCTGCAAGAGGCTGATTTTCTGCTGTTCAGCTCCAGCCACCATTAGATTAATAAACTGGACTGAAAGCTATTGCAATTTGGAAGTGATCATTTGCAGCATAAGCCCCAATTTATTGAAGAACTTTGTCTCATCATGTGCCAATTTTTTCATGCTGGCTACTAGCATGGGTGTACAGTTTTCTAAGTGGGAGATAACCTGAAGGGCCAAAATGACAGGTTATTTCATGATAGGTACACTGGTGAGGTGAAACACCAGCTCCAGTGATATCCACAGGCAAAACTCAATGACTTTGACGAAGCCAAGATTTTACTCTATGTTTATATTTCAGGAAACTCAGTTTAAGTGTCATGGAGCTGTTGCAAGCTCTGGAGGATGCTATTCACTTCAAGGATCCTATATCCTAGGTGCACCTACACGTGCAATTAATGCAAACTGATAAACTGTGGAGTACTTTGAGCCAGAGTACACTGCTCCTAGGTGCAGTGTCTACATGTGTGCCTGGGACAGCATTATTTTGAGCCAGGGTGGAGCAGGCCTGGGCTGGCAGCAGGCTGAAGGAGGTCAGCAGGGAAAAAGGTGGCTGGGGCACAAGAGCACCAAATGTGCAGAACTATGTGGCTAGGTGGCAAGCATAGGTCTGGCCCCATGGTTCCTGGGCTGACTGGGTGCAATTATCACACGCAGTCACCATCTACACACACGTTTGATGACAATGAATTACTCTGCCATAAGATAGTACTGTCCCTGACAATAATATCTTAGGGCAGAGTTAATTAGTATACTGTGCTCTAATACTGGTGCACTTGTAGACAACAATGCTTTACTGCAGAGCTAATTAGTCTACTCAGCAGTAAACTACATGTGTAGCTGGGTGTCCCCCTCCTCTCCCCCCAATCTCCTAAGCAAAATAAATAAATAAAAAGAGAGGCTGGTTGTTTAGCTAAGCAGGAGACTGGAGCTCAGATGGATTGAACAGCCTTAAAGGAGGTGCCATCTAAAGCATGATGGAGAAATGGTTAAGATGACAGAAATATTCCAGGTGGACAATACGAATAGGAGGGAGAGCAGCTGATAAAATGTTCATACCTACCTGGATCCCCGTGTGGAAATTGTCTGACAAACAGTAAAACAAGCACGGCATTTTAAAATATGGCATTTACCTAAACTATTTTTATTGTAAACAAATCATACTTTACTTCACAGGAGGCTGTCTCATCATAATATCCCATGACAGATAGGTGTGGAACAGAGCTATGCAATACATTTATTTTTGTGCTGTTACACAGGAAAAAATAAGCCATGTCAACAGACTGGGATAGCTAGTCAGCACAAATAATCCTCAGGATGCACCCTTTAGTATCAAAGGCCCTTGGCAGACATTACACTTAAGATGCAATTAACCAGCTAATTGTGTCTTAAATAGTAATCAGGCCACACATTCAGGCAACTAATGGCACAATAAAACAAGAAATAAGCCACCAAATTATTCCACAAAATGTGTAAGAGTATTATGGATGGTTTCCATCACGCCCTGAATTGGACATGTGGCAGAAGGACCAATCTCGTGTCTCAGCTGGCCCCAGCGTGGGCCACACAGACTACACCAGTGCTCAAACCAGCCCCAATAAGTTTCAACAGCCAGCTGACCATCAGGTGATTGTTGGGCACCAGCTTTCAATTTCCTGATGCAGTGGGAGTCCAGGATCATGATCCTAGGTTCCCCCTGCACTGGCAAGTATGGCATAATTTGGAGCTGACCACAATCCCAATATTACACATCTTGCCATGCATCTGTGGCATGGGAGGAGGCATGATTGTTGGGACTGAGGATCACAGCTTATTGTGCCTTTAAATGAGCAGGCAAAAGATAGACATCCATAGGTTTAAGATTAAGCCCTAAACTCCTGCAGAACCCTCCTGGTACTTCTGGGGTAACAGAAGAAAAAAAAAAAAAAGAATGAATCATTCAGCGACTTTACTAGTATCATCAACTGCACTGGGACTTCTTGAATTTCTATTGTTACATTCTGGAACACCTCTAAATGATCCAATGAACACAAGCAAGTTTTGCAATTCTGGGGGGAAAAGGAAATAATCCTGAATTTGGCATAAAACCTATTTTTGTATTTAAACTCCCATCAATGGAGATAACTGATGGAATGGCCTACGTCTAAAAGTCTGTATTTTTACTTTGCACTTTACCTAAACTCCTTAAACTAAATACTTACCAGAATATTCCATTACATTATAGTTCATAGTTACAGTAGAGAAAAATGATATGGAAAAGCTTTTATAAGAAACACACTACTACATTCCAATTCATCCAATAGAAAACAAGCCTATGGTATGCTACTAGCTTATGAGGAAAATACTTCTTTACTTTTGTTGTATTACCTTTTCTTTAGTTGTACACTCCCTGCAATCACAGGTAAAGAAATAGGAGTCTCTTAAACGGTCATTTCTATCTTCTGTGGGGTATAATAGATCAATATAACTGGTAAAAACCTAGAAGAAAACCATTCTAATTAATCAAAATGTTTGTACAATACACCCACCACATATGAAAGCACATACATTATCCATTTACATAGAATTAATACTTAATGTGATTAAACTGTCATATGCCTGTACATTTTGCCATATCCCTGTTACTGCATCACCTGCCACCTAATCAATTTCCTTTGAACTAATTCTTACATTCAGCATCTGTTGGCAGCCTCAAACCTTTGCCCCTTTATAAATGCAGTCAGCCAAAGGAATGCTTCTTCCTTCTACCAAAAGCAAAATTTCCGCCAACAATGAATGAGACTGAGATCCAAGGTAGGCAACAATCTAATGTATAGAAGAGAAAGCTCTTCAAATATGTCACAGTTTTAAGAGTGACATCTCAGGCCTCTGCTAGGTTAGAATGGTTAGTTATTTTGGTGCCCAGCTTCTGATACCTCAAATCAGCCTTAATTTCAGGGGCTTGGGGCTCAACACTTCCTGGGCAAAAAAGAAAAAAAAAAATAGGACTTAAGTTGGGCACCCAAATATTCCCTAACAACTTCCTAAGTTTTAAGGCAGAAGTGTCAAAACTTACGGCCTGTGGGCTATCAGTGGGCCATGGAGCATAGGAGCCTGATCACCAGTGGTCCTGGTGAATATGGCCTGCAGCAGGAGGCTGGCAAGCAAGGGCTGCGCAACACAGAAGTCCACTGCAGTGGGCTCTGCAGCCCAATCCAGCCCAGAAGTAGCCCGCTCTGGTCCAGATGATTACGGTGATTTTGACACTCCTGGTTTAAGGCAAGAATCCTTTTAAAAAAAGAGATCCCTTCTCTCCTGAAGAGACATTGGGCCTATCCCACCTATTATGCATTTAAGTCAACTTAAATAGATTCTATTTAACCCTGTTCAAGTCCTGAATATCAACTAATACATCTACTTTTATAAAATATCATCATTATCTGACCCTTAAGACTGGGTCACAAGAAAGCAGCAAGGAGGAGGAAGATCCATTCACCTTTAGCATGAACTGATTTTTGGGAACACGGGTAGCGTGGACTTAAAACTAAGTCCACTTATGCACCAAACTGTTGGAATAGAACCTGGCTCCCAGTACTTCAATTTTAGAAAGGGTGACTATTAGCCTAAAAAGGCAA